TTCCTTTTACAGATTTGTACCCTATGGGAGCCAGATTAATGTAAGTCAGTGAAGTGAAAGATAGCAGCAGACATTGGGTAGGGGGAGGAGGGAGATACACCAGTGGTAAGGGCTGATCCCATAAACAGAGAAACTTTTCTTTGTAGTTGCAAACAAGAAAGTGTGAATGTAACAAAGAAATGTCCACAATAAATAGGGAGAGAAAAACAGAAGAAAATGGAAGCATTTCTCGCTGTGCAAAGAACCTGTCCAAGGCTTTTCAGCCAGCCCCTAGAAATTGAGAATGATTTCAGTGCCTGAGGTCCTGTGCTATTCTCACAAGGTTTTGTTCTCAGGGTCATGTCTAAAGATTTTTCTTTGTCTTTGTTTAATGACCCTCAGCAGAGGTAAGCTGTGAAGTCAGTGTGTTCAGTTCCTTGTGAAGGTTTTGAGTGAGGAGGCATGCCCACTAACTCACCATTTAACCCTCTCTGGCATGAGGCTGAGCTAAGCGCCTGGTAAACCCATGTCCAGGTCTGATTCTAGGTAGTTGAGGTCTGCAGATTAACTTGTCCTGGGTGCTTTCCATTATCAATGAGTCTGAACTTCAGAGAAATGAGGGTGAACAGGAATGGACACCTGCGTACCTGCCAAGATGTTCATCAAAGTCCCCAAAAGCCTCTTCGGTGTCCTACTTGGAAATGACAACACATTGGTGCTTCTTTGTTTTCCTTTTCAGGGACAGGATGAATATCTCCTAAACAAGAACATCTTTCCCGAGGGCAAGGTCCCTGCAGTGACCGCTTGTCTTCCTCTTGGCACACCACTGTTTATGGTTGCCATCTGATGTCTGGGACCTGGCCCTGATGGCTGGTTGTTCAGGGCTGAGAGTAGTTCACTTGGCCAGTGGTCCGTCTGGATGGTTTGGTCATCCAGGGATGCAATCAGAGGAGCCAGGTGACTTTTATAAAAACAAAGTGCTGGGATATATTGTAAAAATTTAACTCCGGATGACTTGCAAGGCATTGGTACCATTGAACCGAGAAGGATCAAAAAGAAAACCTAGCCCACTTTAACAACTTGGTTGTAACAAAACCTCAGATTCTAAATTGCATATTCTTTCTGGAGCAAATTCTACCACACTGTGGGAGGAGAAGAGGGGACAGTAGAAACTCATCTCAGCCTACAATTGGAATTTTATTTGATGTTCCCACAGCCCAGAAAGGACCGGATGGTACAGTCATTCCCAATAACTACTGTGACTTCTGCTTGGGGGGCTCTAACATGAACAAGAAGAGTGGGCGGCCTGAAGAGCTGGTGTCCTGTGCAGACTGTGGACGCTCTGGTGAGTGTGGCCCCTTCCTGCATCGTGTGCCTGTAGCCCAGGAATTGTTCCTCTCACATTCCACTGCTGTCTTGTGGTGGGGGGTTTGGACAGTGGAGTGCAAAGGTTTTGGTGGTCATGATTTCAGGTGCAGAGGGGTTTGCAGGTCATTTTGATTTTTTTTTTTCCTTTGGGTGTTAAGAACCAAAAGTGATGTCCTAGGGTCCAGGGAAGAGGGCAAGGAGAAGTTTTTGACTTGTGTCCGGCCTTTCTGTGAGATGGCTATTTCTTTGTGTGTGTTGTGATGGACCGCAGTGAAACACCCAGAGACACAGGCAACATGCTTTCGTGTATTGGGCGACGCGCACGTGACAAAAACATGTTCGTTCTGTGGAAGTACCTGGGGCACACCTGAAGAGTGTGGACACATGTATATTGGGAGAGCAACCACATCTGTGGGTGTCAGATCCCTGGGTTCCTGGGTAGCAGCAGAAACACCCCCCTCCCCCCTTGCCCACACATTCCATTTTCTCCCATGGACCAACGAAAGAGACCCTGATGGATCCAGGAGGCAAAAGGACAGACATTCCCAGGGTTAATCTGGACTTGACTTGGCATATCTTTCTTCATTTCTGACCTATCCAAAGGCTAAAATAACAAAAAGAAACTTTAGGTCTTATTTCTTTATTCTTAAAACGAGTTCAGGTCTTTAAGTTTTGTTCAAGCTGTTGTTTTGTTTTTCACTTCAAACCATTATTTTTGGCTGGTAGTGACTGGTTGGTACTAGCTATTTTTTACATTGTTTTATGTCACAACTTAGACCAAAGTGCAAGGCAGGGAGGAGAGAGGATTTCAGCCTCATTTTTGGTCTCAGCTACTGACTAGTGGGTGAAACACAGTTCGATTGGGCAGTTGGTTCCAGCAGTGAGGAGTCATTTCTCCCTTATCTCTTTCTATCCAGTGTCTTTTCCACACCCAGTCCCAAGAGAAGGACTGAGCTGACCACACTTGGCTCTACTGTAGCCCCTCAGATTTTTCCCATGCTTGGTCTGCAGACCTTAGGCTCAGCCCTCTGATATTTTGATGTTAGGGTTGTTTGGGGCTCAAGACCGACTTGCGTGGCAAGTCAGAAATTGGAAAAAAGACTGTGGTTTCTGCTGCACGCAACTCTCAACATTGAACTCTCAAGGACCCTAACGGTGGCCCATTTGTGCAATTCTGTCAATTCATTTAGTGTCCAAACACGATACCTAACATTAAACTTTTTACTGTACTGGTGCTTAGAAGACAGGGCCCTTGTGACAGTGAACTCTGGTTTTTAGATACTTAAAAAGAAAATAAAACAAATGAAATTTAATTTAGTGTTTTTTAAAAGCAAGCAATTAGACAAAACCTCGACTGCCAGAAGCAAGGTCACTTGGTGGAGTGATTTTCTATGCAGAACGTTATGGACTGCTGTATGTTTGGATGGGTTAGAGAGGGAAGCTTCAGAATTCTCACTGCAAACTGCTATAAATCTCTCCCTTTCTTTCCTACAAAAGATGGGGTGCTTGAATTTAATCCATGGGTATCAGAAGTGGGAAGATGTTTTTTCTACACGAAGCCTCTCTTTGCATAGCCTTCACTCAGCTTTCCTTTCATAGGTTCTGTCTGCTATGTGACCAGGGGGCCATTTATACTAGCCTAGGTATTTTCATTGCATTTGCCAAGGATTAATTCTGGTATCATTTAGTCAAGGTCTGACTCTGTTCCTGAAATAGTTGATACCTTGGGAATAAACAGGTAACACTGGCCCCTGGGATGTGCTTGTTAAGGAAGGTGGGCGAATATGTCTCTGGGGCCTCCCTAGAGTCCTTCCAGAGAAGAGTGTGGAGCTTGAAAGAGCTGTCCTTCCCTTCCTGTCAACCCCACTGCTTCTGTTTCCCGGGAGAAAGTGAGAGTCCTCAATCTGGCATCATCAGTGGGACATCACTACCTTATGTGGGTGCAGTCCTGGGCCTGTTCAGAATGTGAAAAAGTTTAAACCTGAGTTTAATGGATTTCAGGATACTGTATTTTATTAGGCTTTTTTTTAAAATTCCCTATTTCTCACCTTTTTAGTGCTCTGAGTTAGATTTGACTAGTCTGAACTTTCTGGAGTAACCGAGACCTGGGTGTGTTTAGTGGCTGGAGTTTGTGTGTCTGAATGAGTGTGTGTGTATGGGGGGGGGGTAGGCGTGTACACATGCACACAGGTATATGGGTACAGATCACAGAAATTTCCTCCAGTGGTTAAAGCAGACGAGAAACTCTTTTATTACCACCACTTATCAGACCTTCCAACTTCCTTTCGCTTTCAGTGCAAACGAACTACATGGTGTAAGGGCAGAATTGAAAGGGCTCTGAAAGAATGGGATTAGAAGCGGGTAAAAATAAAAATGAAATGGATGGAGGCTTAACCGCCTTGAATGGGTTATGTGACAGTAATACCTTTGTAAAGCTGACTGTCAAAGTGAAGGACAAACATTGTTCAGAGAAACACCAACTAAAAACACCAAAGAAATACCAACCAGGCTTAAAAACCACCAAGGAAAATCTTTGTCTGGGGCGGGGCCGGGTGAGCGTGCATGCATGTGTGTGCGTGCAGAAGAGAAGAAACCACGGCTGAATCTTTTGCTGTCGGAAGCTGTGGATGCACATATTATGATAGAGATGATGCCTTTTCTGGGAGGAGGCCACCCTCTTCCCTGGAAATGTTTGCTTTGTCCCAGATCCCTGTCACCAGGTGATGTACCTGGTTAATCCCTTTTGGTATGAAAATGGTTTATTATCTTGCTATTATGAATAACATTGTAACAATGTAATGAGAATATGAATAATGCTGTCTGTTGCTTAACCCATGTGCTGATATATTCATCATACATGTCAGCTCATTTGGGAGGAGAAGGCGGGAAGGAGAAGGAGGCAGCGGCCGCAGCACGCACCACGGAGGACTTATTCGGTTCCACGTCAGAAAGTGACACGTCAACTTTCCACGGCTTTGATGAGGACGATTTGGAAGAGCCTCGCTCCTGTCGAGGACGCCGCAGTGGCCGGGGTTCGCCCACAGCAGATAAAAAGGGCGGTTGCTAAACCCATGGAACAGACTCTCTGGGCCATCAGCCCCCTCTGACTTTGGTCATTGTTCTGGTTCTGATTTTTTTTTTTTTAAATGAAAGACGACTTAGGTTTTCCCTTTATCCTTGCTTTTTCTTCTCACCTCCCATGTGTCCCTTCCCCTGCTGTCCCTCTATTTTGAGTACATACAACAGAGGCACAAACTACTGAAACAAAACTAAACAAAAGCGCAGAGTGACAGTTCTTCAGAGAGAGGGCATCGTGATGTGCTATTTATTTTCCATAGAAATAGAAAGTTAGGCAGATTATCTCTTTTTGGGGGGGAGGGGGATCTTTTTGACACGAGCAGATGTTCTTCAGAGAGAGGGCATCGTGATGTGCTATTTATTTTCCATAGAAATAGAAAGTTAGGCGGATTATCTCTTTTTGGGGGGGAGGGGGATCTTTTTGACACGAGCAGAGTTGATTTCCTCAGTTTTCATATTTATTGGCAAAATGAAGAGAAGAGGAGCATTGGGTTTGGAAACAAAGAACCAATAGCATTAAAAAATTATTATTTATATATTCTGGCTGTTATTAGAATCAGGTTTTTTTTTTTTTTTGGGAGAGAAGGGAAATCAAAGAAATCAAAGTAATATCCTGTTTAGAGGCGAGCCACGGGGGGAGAACTTCCTCAGTGGGAGATGAGTGCACTTTCCGTGCCCCACGGAGCCTGTGGCTCCCCACGGCAGACCCCTCCCCACTTCTGCTCCCTGACCTTTCCATCTTCCTCTCTGCTTGTGAGAAAATTGCAAGAAAATGTCAGCAGCTCCTGACAAGTTCGGGCCCTCCAGCGCCGGGCTCTGACCAGCAGTGTCCTCTCGGGCTGGCTCCTCCTCCTGCGTCTGCAGAGCTGCTGTTTTGTTGTTGCTGGTTCATCCTCACTTTCCTCCTGGCAAAGAGCAACTTCCAAACGCTGGAATGGAATATTAGCAGAAAGTCATGGGCTCAGCAGAGACCGAATAACCCCAGGCTGCCCTCATGGAAGAAAGAACGATACCTCGTAGTATATTTCCCTTCCCCTCCCCCTGTTTAAACACATAAATACCCGCTGGATGATCAAGTCTCCCGTGTTTCTTCCATTTTTTGATAGTGCCTCCCAGGCACTTTGTTTTATGTTTCCAATAGCACCTCCTGAAATAAACCAAAGCAACACTTGCTCAAGACCCCTGGGCGATGGAGAAGACCCTCCACCTCGCTGGCAGTCCCAGGAATGAACAGCAGCGAGGTCCTAGTCAAAAGGTATGTTG